GGTATCATAGCACAGGACAATGATGTTTAGCTTAGGTGGGGGAACAGCCTGACCCCCTCTTGAGCCCCGAAATCCCTATCACCAGACTCAGGAGACACTCACACGCACCAGCGCCCGCAATAAACCCGAAGGCCCAGAACTGTTAATCCGCCCTCCCATAGACACCAAAAGAATGTTATTGGGTCCTGGGCTAGCCTATTACCATTTTCTATAATCTTCGCGGCAGAGATGGTCCCTAGACGGTGGACAAGGAAGGGTAGTCTGATCCCAGGATTCAACCTCGCCGGTACCACCCGCAAACAATTCGAAAGCAGTAATATACCGGTCATTCTGGGGGGTCCGTGGGGGTGGGAACATTCCCTAAATGTTTGACAGCATATTAGATTTTGAATGTAAAAGGGCTGTGGACAGGAATTTTAGTTTGTGTACAGATTGAGGCCGAAAAGCGACCTGAGCCGACAAAATTGGGCTCCAGTGTTTGCAACCGTCGGGGGGGGGGAGCACGTGGGGACTGCCAATAGCCCCGGGCGGGACTGGAGGGCCATGTGAAGGGCATCCCGGGCGATGAGGGCGGAGGGCGGCCGTCTTTAGGTAGGGCGGTGGAGGGTTACCAGGGACGGTGGGGGACTACCATTGACGGTGTGGGATCACCAGAGACTGCGAGGGACAGCTGAGGACTGCGGGGAACAACACATTATACCACAAAGAACCTCAGAAATAGTTGAAACCCTCTAGTTGACAACGTCATTTTGTTTGTAGGATCTCAGGCAGTAGGACCGTAGTCCTCCGTAGTCCGGGTGTATTCCATCCTAGCACTGCCGGAAGGACGGACTACTAGCTATAGTCCGTCCGGCCTTACCCCAAAGACGGACGTACTGGACGGTTGGGAACACCGTATGGACTCACGGTAAGCATTCCGGATACCTCGTTTCTTATTGTCGGTTTCCTAAGTTCTAGCAAGATAACGATGCGTACTTCGCCGCCCCACCCAGCCTGCCAGAGTCCGCAGCCCCGAACCGTTGTGCTGACTCTGAACATCCCGATTCCGGCACGACGGTGGGGAGATTTTGATTGGCCCCGGGAGCAATCGGTATTGAAGAAAAATCAGGTACTTCCCTCCGTCCTACAAATACCCCTATGAACTTGGAAACGGCTAGATGTAGATTAGAATAATAGATGCCCCCTTGGAGATGAAATTAGTTGGCGGTCCGAGAATAAAATGATGCATATCGTTAAGTTGAATAAGACCGTATCCGGCCCACTGGTAAACTTCCTGGTGGAGCTAGCAGGCGAGATACTTATGAAGATTTGAAAGTATGTCCTATCGAATCACACTACTAGTAGTCAAGTCAGGCACAAAATTCTTCAATGACTATCCACTATGGGAGTAAAAGAGTATATACATAGCCAAGTCGAAGTGGATTGGAGGAGTGACTGAGAGCAATGGCTGGGATCGGGAATGGAGAGCTTTGAGGCGAAGGGTGTCGTTTTCACCAGTGTTCCGAACCGTCCGGGGGGGGCCGATAGGGATGGCGGGGATAATGCCAAGAAGACGGAACCGGATATGACCACTAGACATGGTCCTACCAAGGGCAAACTATGTAGAGGACTACCAAGCGGGGCTTGGACTGCTAGGCCCGACGCACTATGCCCTTATCAGTAGGTGAGACACATGGGACAGTGGCTGCTTAGGTGAACTGCAGGGGGGATAGCAGGAGGGCCAGGATTGGGCGGGGGACTATAGTGGGTGCCAGAAGATGGTAGGGTGTAGGAAAGGACTGCAGAGTGTAGAGATAGACTGCGGGGGGCGGCCGTAGAGGGTAGGTATTAAGAACGACAGCCGGGTAGAGGTGAGCAAAGATGAGGGGGACAGCTGGGGATGGCTCATGACTGCCGGTGACTGCAGACAAACTATGTGTGATATATTATGATGCCAGGTAACCGACACCGTAAATGATATATGTGCAAGAAAGAGAGGAAGATTAAATAGATCATCATGTGATCCGAGTATTAAGATAAGACTGAACCAATTCATTCTTCTACGAGCCTTATTTTCTCTTTCTAATATTCCTATAAATCATTTGATTTAACTATATTGGTGATGTTGCAACAACTAATATTACATTCCGGGTATCAGGCTACAGGGGGTCTATCTCTTTCATTTTATTTTTCAACTAAAGCAAATAATAATTTCTTGTGACCCTGCTGGAGTCTTTGCAAGAAAATATTTGACAGTCACCATTCCATATTCTCTATCCTACCAGCATCTTTGCATCAAAGATGTATGTATAGCCATCCGTTGGAACCAATATGAAATACTGCTAAGAATTCAAGAACTCTTCTCACTCGAATGGAGGAAAAGCACTTATTCTTAGATCAGGGCACGATGTCACCGAGTAAATGTCACCGCGTCTGTGAGCCCAGAAACGCCTCTCGGAAGCACGGGGGAACCAAGGGGGAAACAGGATTTCCCCCCTAACGAACCTACAAGCCACTTAGAGCCCCCCCTCCATATACTCCATGAGGTGCTAACCAGTCAATCTTCCATCCGGAAACCGCCCGCCGATCTCATGAGTTACAATCTTTATTAAGTCTACAAGTACCACACAAAACTTTCTTATTCTAGTTTAGTCCTGTGGGCGAGTGAGGGGGGTTATGTGTGGCTTGCGGTTTCTACTACTCTAGCCTCATGGCGCCAGGAGCGATGGGGCGTGTAATCCTCTTCCCATTGGGTGGCTTGCGTTCAAACATTGGATTCAATGCAGCTCTAATCCCCAAAATCATCCAGTTAACTGACTCCTACCATTTAAACAAAAGCCGAAGCAAGGGTGGGTTTCCGGCCCCCTCCAGAGCTTCTAGCACCACACCGGTAATTTGGGGCCGCTGGTAGCATCTCCAGATTGTTTGTTGGATTGCTAATACGGTACGTACTCGAGGATATGTCGTGCGGTTATTGGCCACCCGGGTTTAGCCGGCTTTGACACCCTATGACGTTAGGAATACGGTGGTGGCGATGGTTTCACTGTTTTATACCAGACCCTACAGCCTGCCCCCGGGCATCCGGAATCGGGTGTTGTTTTGTTGCTTCGTGCAATGCTCCCCACCATAGGGCCTTAGATTTGGGGATTAGACTTCGACAAGACGGTCAAATATGCCGGAGCAAAAGCAGACAGTTGCTTTACTCTCTCAGTGTCTCTACTGGGTTCCTGTCATTTCCGGGGGGGGGGGCGGAACTCTCCTTTGCACTTTGTGTGTCCTCCATGATTCGCGGAGTTTTTATCTCATTCCGAAAGACGGCGGTTATTTAAGAGGTAACCATATATATCTTACCCTACCTATAGCTATCATCCCTACTAGATACCTAATTCACCGCTCACTCACGTTAAATTATGCTGACCCATAGAACCCACTCTCACTAATTGGTCCTTTGGCCATGCTCTATATTTTTCGGTTCTCTCCCGCGTGGCAGACTTTAGCTCCCCCAATTCCTACCGGATTCTCTATCGACATGCGGTCAAGATATTTTGCGGTTACAGGGCATAGGGTTCAGGTTTCCACTTTTTTGCAGATACCAGTTGCGATGGATCATCAGGTATGGGGAATTTCGTTCGCTTCCTTCACACCCTATGCTGTTACACATACGATTGTTTGTTTTTTTGAGATATGATATCATGGTGGACCGTGAGATGTCTAGGGAGTTCCATATTGCTGGAGGATCACGGAGGATCATGTTTTTTCAGGGTGGTGTGTTTCCTTTGTGTTCACGGAGGTTCCTTAGCTTTCGGAGATGTTAGCTGCTTTGGAATTATATATCTCCCGGTCTATCATTAGCTAGCATCTCTACCAATCGTTCAGTTCACAACACCCCTCCATACCCCGTTGTGCATGAGCCTGTTCTGATAGCACTCTCGCTGATTAATCCATTTGTGCTCTTCTTTAACCTTCATAGTATCTAACCCGTTGGACCCCGAGTCCAACCTGCCTATGAGGTCACGGACCTTGCCGCGAACTTCTGACTCTCTACTAGGACCCCAGTGTCGAGAACCCGCAGCTTCCTACCAGATTTCGCCAGAATATAGCATGGTATAGTGGAGTGAGAGTAATAGCTTCCGTTACAAGCGCCAGAGCTGCAGCTTCAAAGTTAACTCACAGGGTGCGCTGATAAGTGTCTACAATATTCACTTACCCATAACCTACAATGGATAGGGGTATCAGGTGGTTCGGCCTACCGGTGCATGCTACTGTATGGCATCGCGATGCACAAATGATATGGAAGGAAACCCCTCACAAGTGCAAAATTTCACTGCACTAAGTTATTCGCCCATGGGAGCAATCGAGATAGCCGGTCCAGTTCAGGGGACCCGATCCTGGTGTCACTTGGGGGGAAAGGGAAAAAGGAAAAAAAATTGTGAGACCTACCGTCGGCAGTCGAGACCATTTTGTGACCAGATTGCTGCTCACAAGCGCCCCCTGCAGAAATCCTGAAAAGTTTGGAATTTCAAAACTCCTGTGCGCGATGTGACCGTCTGTAAGGCTATTGTTCCTTGACCCAGGCTACAGCTTGTGGAGAGGGTGTAGAGCAATTAGTGTATCCCAGGTTATTATCGCAGTTCTATCATAACCTTCTCCTTTTGTTCAACTAGCTTAACATGTGCTTAAGGTCCAGACTCACTGGTAGCCACTATCCCGATACATGCTATCCCTCGAACGCTCCACCGACAAGCCAGCTTGCAAGGGTTTTTCAGCACAATCCCACCCTTGCCATCATGCCACGTGAATAGAGCCCACATACAATCCGCAGGAATATAATTTACCAGCACCTTCCAAGAGCCATACCCGTAATCTGCCTTTTCCTGGACCTTTCCGGATTGGAGTACCCCACCCAATACGTCCTCTAACATAGCAATCCACTCCTCCCCCCCCCAAAGCCATCGCCCATATCCCCTGGAAGTGCAAGCAGTGCCCCTTACACTCACGAATTAACCGGCCCAGAACGCCCAAGTCGAGTGAAGACACACTTGTCAGACAGGAGACATGATATCTCAATACACAGTAAACACCACCAACTTTCCTGCACGTCTTCGCAAGTTTCAAATAGTGCTTCAGTCTGGTCTCCAGCCTCACCGGTCGCCCCCAGCCATTTCGCGAAAGCGATCAATAAAACCCTCGGTAATCTACCAACGGCCACCCAATCCCAAGTTTCCATAGAGAAACACGTTCCGCCCCCAGAACGGGACAGTACCCCATTTTCCTCCAAGGAGCTCAAAGAATACCCCACCGCTATCTTTCCGGAATCTTGCGAGAAGGGCAAATTTCTCCCTCGTTTCCTAACCCAGACAAACGACCCTCATTAGATGGATTACTCCAAAGACCTTCTACGCCCCAATCCACGAGAGAGTGAGCATCCACGCACTTCTCTACAACCTCCCTTGCAAACCCCCCCCCCACGTGTACTATCGAACCGCCCCTTGGAAGTTCATATCCACTAGTACCGGATCAGCAACGAGATCTATTCAACAACCACCAATTCCTTTTCCCCGGTGATGCGATACACCTTCTCGTGCGCGCCCAGAGAACTTGGGAATCCACGGGTGGCAACCTTTCCGCCCTCCTCCTCTGCCAAGGGCCGAACAGGGGAGGATTACAGAGTTTCACCAACCGCACCAGGCGATCGCTTCAGACTAACTGTAAATTCTGATCAGGATTACTAGATTGCTAACTACCCTGCCGCCCGCGACGTGCTTTTCAGGGATTTCGTGGTCAATCCAGGACATTTCTGCAAAACGGGGCCACCGAGGGTTCGACATAACAAAAGTGGAATCCCATCGCACCTGGGGGGGATTCGGATTGGGCAGAACAATACGCACATGTTTCGAATGTGTAGAAAGATGACCCTATAATAGATGCATTCCCCATCCTTCACTATCATAGTAAAGCCCAAAAGGTTGCGTCCGAAGCGGACGTACCCGAGGCTTGCATGGACCAGGTGGCGGCTGCAGTCTCTCAGTGTTCCCGGCTAAAGAGTGGGAGGCATTGTATTTACGCAGGCACAAATCCTTCTTGGGACGGCCCCTATCTTTGCCCTTCACACACACTTGACAGTACCTGGGGCAAAGCTGAATATCAGATCCGATCCGGGGCGACTTAGGCCGGCCGAGAAGGCGTAAGGCATGAGCCAGCCGCATCCCCGAGCACCCCGGCATAGCGCTATCCCAAGTCTGACGGTTGGGTTAGGGTTTCCAGTGAAACCACCGATAAGGAACAATAGTGATAACGTATTCTACACCATAGCGAGCCCCCCTCATAGCGAGCCATCCACCCAAATACCAGCCACTATTCCAATCTCAACCGGCGCTCAACCAATCATGTTGCCCAGACTTGCAGAAGGCTCGCTACGGTGTGGAATGCGTTAGTCTAATAGAGTAATCAAAACTCATCAATCGTCAATACACAGGATGGTGAAGAGTGGATTATATAATGCCCCGAAACGGAAACCAATGCTCGCCCGCTCGCCACCCCCCAAAGGGGAAATTCTCTGCTCCGTAAAGTCTTTAAGTTAGATCCCGAGAATTCGCGACAATAAAATTTACAAACGACCGCAAACACAATTTGCCCCCCCCCCCCAGCACCGGGAGAGCTCTGCACTCGATATCCCAACTGCTGGTTCGCTAACGACCTCGCGATTTCCCATCTAGAGTCAAATCCTAGCGATTCGGTTATCCCAGAACCGCATCCGCCTCACATCCGGCCCCTCCGTAGAGCCCCCCCCCCCCCCCACCACCCCCACACCCTCTTGGGCTGGCGGATTCATAAACCCAGAAATTAACCTGGGCCATGGCACAGTACAGTAAACCCTCCCTTAATTCCAACCTCTCAGACTTCCAACCCTCCTGTTATTCCGGTCCTGTGTAGGAATGGGTTTGGTGCTATGGGAATTCCCTCTACAACTTCCAATCCTCCCATAGTTCCTACTTCCAGGAAATAGATCTGCCCTAATTCCAGAAAGTAGGCTTTAGGGTTAAGGGTTATGAGAATAGATATAGGGTTAACCTACCCTTTAACAGAGAAAAAAATTTCATCTCGGTTACTCCAACTCCACATACTGCAGAATTTGTCCGAAGTCCAATTTTTTTCCTTTTTTTCTTCTTTTTTTTCCTTTTATCTCTCTTAACCAGAAAAGTCCAGTCATTCACCATGCCAGTTATTCGATCCACTGTGAATCAGCAACTAAAAGCCAATGCAGAAAAGAAAAAACGAGTGCATGGAACGAATTTGACAAATCTGGCTAAATTCAAGCTCTACAAGGCAAAGTTTTCTGAAAATGTGGGTGGAAAAAAGCCTCCCACTAATACCGCTCTTGCTCTCCGCTATAGTGTAGATGGTAAAACGGTTACCAATATACTTAGCAAGGGTTATGATCACTGGGCAAAAATGTCAGAAGCAGATTTGAAGATGAAGCGGAACAATACAGTGAAATTGCCTCGTATTGATGAAATGTTAAACATCTGGATACATCAGTGTCAGGGAAGAGGTGAGTTCTCTAAAGTAATATTTGCTTTTAATAAACTGCTGATAGAATTATAAACAGAGATACCGGTTATAGAAGAAACACTGAGGGCAAAAGCCGAGCGATTTTGTGAGATTGAAGGTGTTCCGGTAAAGCAGCGACCAAAATAGAGTAACGGATGGCTTCAAAAATTTAAGAGAAGGACCGGATTACACTGTGTTCGCTTCTATGGTGAAGGACAATTGGTTGATTTGTGGAAGCATGTAACATGGATCAATGAAAGCAATAAGGCCTGTGAGGACTATGCCGACGAAGACCGGTATAATTTTGATGAAACAGGTCTATTTTACCGAATGGCCCCCTCAGTTGGGCTAGTAACCAAGCAACTTACGGGCACCAAAAAAAGCAAGACATGTCTTACTTATGGATTCTGTGTAAATGCCACCGGTACAGATAAGAGAGATCCTCTTATTATTGGGCATGCAAAAAAACCCCAATGCTTTGGAAAACGAACTGGTTTGAGTCTCGGATACAACTACACCTCGAATAAGCGTGCTTGGATGACAGGAGCTGTTTGGCTTGATTGGTTGAAAAAGTTTGATACTAATATGAGTTCTCAAAACCAGCAAGTTCTTTTGCTTATTGACAACTGTGCAGCTCATATTGAGCCTGATTTCGATTTACAAGCCACTCGCCTTGAGTTTCTTCCACCGAATACTACCGCCCAGCTTCAGCCACTTGATGTAGGCATTATCTGTACCTTTAAGGCATACTATCGGCGAAGCTTTCTTCAGCTGGCACTTCTCCGAGATGAGGAGGATTCTACCTGTGATCCTTTTAAGATTTCTCAACTTGAAGCAATGGAGATTGCAAAAAAGGCTTGGAGTAGTATTACAGAGGAAACTATTGCAAACTGCTGGAAGCATGTAGGATTGGCAGGACACTTCGGGCCTGGTCTTCCAGTAGAAAGACCTAGCGATATAGTACCTTCGATTGGTCCAGCTGCAGACCATTACCATGAACTCCAGCAGCTACGGAAAGCAAATCCTGATCCATATTTTATGGAGCTAAATTCGCTAGATGAGGTAATAATTATTATTTTTTTATTTTACTTTTTTTCTTTACTATGAGTATTAATATATTATTATCAATCTAGATTTTCAACCTTGGAGCTCTTCTGGAGAAGGACTTCAGTCGTCTGCGAATTTGCGACCCAATGGCAAACCGTATCCCATTTCCTCAACCCCACTGAGGAGTTAGTCATTACAGGTGAATTGACTGATGCTGAAATTGTTGAAATGGTGGATTACGCTCATGGAGGACAAGAGGAGGATACCGGAGAGGCTGAGACTCAGTTAGGTCCAAACTCAGTTTACTAGTCTCGTGTGACAGAGAAATCCACATTCACTACCGATGAAGTGCTTGATGCAACTCACGCTATTCTCTACAAAGTCCTTAATGACACTACCTTATCTGATGACTTCATTCAAGAAGTACTGAATTTACGCTGCTTGGAGACTTTGTGGAGGGTTAGGAAAGTTACGGAGTCTACTGTTCAAACTTGGATCTTGTCGTATTTTCGTACTACTGAGAGGGGAGATGAGTAGGATTTTTTTTTCTTTTTAAACATGTTTTCCTTATAGTATAAATGTACAACAACTCCACTCTGCATTATATCATATTTAAATACTTCATAGCAGCGGACATGTAAATGTCTTATACCTACTTGACGGTATCATGATATATCACTTGATTTGCCAAGACACCTGTCATGTTTCCAACCCTCCACTCATTCCAGTTCATCCAGCCCCCCAGCCTCCTGGAATTAAGGGAGGGTTTACTGTATCCCCTTTCGCGAACTGAGACACCCCTTATCTTAAAGTCAAAAGAAAAAAAGAAAAAAGAAAAACTTGCGGCTCCCCACTAATCTAAGGCAAAAACAGTCTGCGCACTTTACAAGGGACGAATTCCGGTGGGAGCGATAATTTAGTGACCCCTCGAAGCATGTGCACTTCAAGGCCGGCTAAAGCCATACTTTGAGTACCGCACCGTACCACACGCAGGGTTGAGAGTTTTACATTAGATAGGCAGCGCAGCAGGAAAATTTCTTAATCTTTCCCTCTCTCTACATATGATACCTCTCTCTTGATAGCCAGTAACTCGGCCCATACCCCGCATCGTCACCCATAACCTTGCAGGTTATCGAAGGAGAGGACGTCAGGCTTAATGTCTGCACTATACCCCCGGAACACCACACACACACTCACACACGGCTCCCAAAACTTTCACTCAACCCCACCGGTGAATCCCACCCCCGCCGCAAGGACATGACAGTCATTTTGTGTGCGCGGGCGCGAGTCGTTCCCAGCGTGCTTTTCCGAAAATTTCAGGCAAACCCTCCAGAACCATCCACGCGCCAACTCTTCAGGAGATTCCTTCATCGTGAATCACTCGCTTGCGATTCTCGTAGAGAGGGGTGCCAGATTTGCCGTAGCCCTGGAAGGTAGACCAATAGCGCAGTGAGGGTAATGGACAAACTGTCTCCCCTCTCGCCGTTCCCTATGCCCCCCGTGATTCCGCCCTCCGTTTCGGCCAATCAAGGCTCTAGATTGGTCCGTCCAGAGATATTCCGTGATTATCTGACACTATAGTGTTGCCCATGCTAAGCCACTAGCCCCGCACCAATAGCGATCTTATATTGCGATTACTATACCCAAGCAATGACACGACAGATTTGTTTCAATGTCCAAGGAAGCGGACACCCGGCTCATGAACCCGAAGTATACGAATAAACATTCCTCCTCCGCGGAGGAAAGTGGGCGAAGCCGTCCACAGCAAACTCACGATGATTCTGAGTTTTAAGATCGACATATGCATACATGAAGTGTTTGCAATATCAAGAACAAAGTTACATGACACGCTCAAACTACTGTATGATGCTATAATCTGACAAAAAAAAAAAAAAAAAAAAAATTCCTAAAAACAACCAATCGCAATCCCCTACCTACCCAAGAACCCCACGAGGTGCCCACTGTACAGCACATAACTTCCTTCACCGCTCCCTCACTCACGACAACCTCCACGGTAACTCCACGGTAACGACCGTAGTCCCGTGTTCACCTCCCCCCCAAAGCTATCACCACCGCACATACGATCCAAAACAATGCAATACAATACAAACGTCACCCCATCACCTGCCCCCCCCCCCCCCTCCCCCAAATACAGTGCACTTCGGCCAAACCCATCGCACCGCAAACCAACAGCACACCCCATACACTCTCACCCCACTGGTCGTCGCGCACCATTCAGGTACGGTGCGACACCAACCAAACAAACACGCCGTGTAACCATGAGTGCATTAAACTTGCCGTGCATCCCGGAACGCGCACAGACGGATCTACTGTACGGGCTGAAAAACGCGGGGTTCGCCAAGCTGTTTTGTGGGAGCGCGAAAAGAAAAGAAAAAAAACAAAGGAAGGAAAGGATGGAAATGATGGGGGGCCGACAGGGTAGTTTTTATTCTCCGATGCTCTATCTATTCCGGGGATGGATGGGAAAAGCAGGAATTGTGGCTCGGTGGGTGCGGTGTTGACAGATGAACGGGGAGCGAGAGAGTGGGCTCACCGTAGCGGACCAAGTTGATGCTCGGAGGAAGAATAGGCTGCGAGGCGAGGGATCACGACTACACACAATCCTCAACGTTCACTCACTCAACTCAAGACGATCAGTAAGCGCTTCCCTACGATCCCCGCCTTCCTCCCCATACCCTCTGCTCCCCGCCGCTCTCCTCTCCTCCCGCTCCCATACCCCCGCACCCTACCCCGCAAACAGGACCCCCCCCCCCGACGAGAAAAAGCAATCCAGGCACACCCTTCATCACAACCTCTCAATCGCTGCAAGACATCCCCTCCCTCCCTCCATCGTCACACCGCGCCCTGCATTTGGCACCCCTCAAAAAAGCAAAAGTGAAAAAAGAAACAAGGAGCTAAAAAGTGAGAGAAGTGAGAAGGCTCGGTAGTTGGGTTTGGAATAAAGTGGTCGGGCGGTACAATTCCGGTGTGAAGTGAGACACTAACTTAGGGCGCGGCAGGCCAGATCTGCTGTTTATGGCGCCCTGAGTGCTGTGCTGCACTGTTCGTAGCTCGTTACGCTGCAGTGCCGTGGGTAGGGGGCATCGTACCTGCACCTCAGAGAGGGCTTTAGAAGTTTATGGTGATGAGGAATTATTTGTGCTATCGGTTCCCATGTGCGGTGCTGTACAGCGCAAATGCCGGCACGTACAGTACTGGGGGGGTCGCAAAGACGGATACGACATTACCAGGGCAGGTTCCCCCCACTGCTGTACAAGTACTTGTACGTGCAAAGCGAAAAGAAGAAAGAAGAAAAAAGCCTCCCGGCGATCCCTCCCCCTCCCGCTCCGAAGATCCCCCGGTGATATCGTATCTATCCATATACTACCATACCGCAAGAGGCCTGATAATCGTGTTCATGGGTAGACCTAACGTAAGAGTAGCATACTTGAACAGATCCCTGACTCACAATACAATGTCCCAGAGCTCCAATAGCCAAGGCACCGCCGAAGGAATCAAGCGCCATAATATCACAAAAGTTTATTTTTTAAGGCCAGGAAGAAACATTTACAAACAAGCCCTTTCATCCCTCCTTCCTTCCTTTCCTTCTTCTTCACCCTGCTCCCCATCGCGTCCTCCAACGGACAGCTGATGAAAATCATGCAAAAAAATGAAAAAGAATAAAAAGGAGAAAAGCAAGAGCGCCGCGAGACCCTTTTTTTTTTTTTTTTGCAACATTGTAAAGCATGAGAGAAGGAACGCACCCCTTCCTACAGGTAGTAGCAGACTCGCGAAAATAATAACATGAATACTAAAGGGGAAAAACGGAAAGACCCCAGAAAAAAGTAGAGAGCAAAAGCAAGCACTTTTCGGTTTAGTGTACCCCCTGTCCCCAACTCTCCAGTCAAAACCATGCGTGGAGCTAAACGCAGAAAGCCATGAAATAAGCCCAGAAGCGAGAGGGGAAAGTAAAATGGGGGGGGGGGCGAAATGGGAAATCATGGGGACAAGGCGAGAGAGAAAAAGGAAAGAAAAGACAAATGCCAGGAGAATGGAAAAAAAATGGAAAAGGAAATCAGAAGAAAACTAATTGTCCCCTTCCATTTCACTAGCCGGCGTCGCGACGCCGCTCGCAATCCAGGATGCACCATTGGCCTTCTCCTCAATTGGCCAGACCTCCCGTGCGTATTCCTCCATGCCTCTCCAGCCGGGCCAGAGAGCTCGAGAAATCTCCGTTGCAGAGCCCTCCATCTCTGGCCTGAAGTAAGAAGCACGCTGCTCGCACAGCACCCTCACGATCCCCTCCAATTGGTCCCGATACCCAGACGGGATTGGTGTACGAATTTCGAGGGGGTGGGGTTGGTAGTTTACTGGTCTTCCCAGAGCTCTAGAGAAGGCGCTGCAAACTTGCAATGGGGTGAGAACTTCAAAAGCTAGGGGAATCCTAAATCCCGGCCGGCTCTGGTTAGTTGCTACCGATATATGCCTTAAGGCTGAAACTCGAGGGGAAGAAAGCGAAAAAGAAAACGCATACCTCTGTCCGCCCCACCGCTTCACTCCATCCTTGAAAATTTGAATCACGGCTGCACCAAGGTCATGCTCCGTATCGATGAATGGGATAGGGTAATCTGGCGGAAAGGGGGCTTTCCACACAAAGCCCCCATCCGCCCTAGGAGTCAGCTGCCAAAGCGGATAGGGTCTCGATGAGAAATTATTATGATAGCTGCCCACATAGACAAAGGTAGAAGGTAACCCCAATTGGCGAATGTACTGCTCAACCGTGAATTTGGTAGCCCAGAGGGGTAGCGATTCCTGCGGGGGGTCATGCGTCGAGTGGTCTGTCAGCGACGAGAATACGTAGTGTCGTATGCCGGCCTTGAGGGCCGCGAGCGCAAGCGATTTTCCAGTTGCAATCTCGTCCGTCCATGCGTATGGCGTAGTGTTGACAAATGCGTATTGTGCACCAACGAATAGCCTGTCCACGAATGTTTGATCATCAAGGGAACCTTCTACCAGTGTTACATTCGGGAGAAGCCTGAGCTCCGCTGATAGTTGAAGATCCTTTTTCAGAGACCTAAGCTGTGCACGCACTTTGTAACCCACGGCGGAGGCTACCCGGACGACGCTAGAGGCTTGCCGACCAGTGGCGTTCACCACAACCAGTTCCTTCACTGGCGTGGTATTTGGTGCGGGTTCTTGACTCGGGTCTGTCATTGCACTGTCTATGACGTTGCGTGGGCCGGGATTCACGGCTCTTGACATTCAGGGGAGGCGGGTAAGGAAAGCTTTGTGGGAAGAAGGGGATACCCTCGTTGGCTGCGGGAAACAGCTCGACTGGAGCACAACCTTCGAAGGTGAGCCCAGCTAATAATAAGCGTGAGGAGGCAACGAGTGTTTGGTTGAGGGTGGAAGGGATGGGCAATGACCGGGGATGAGGCGACTTGAATACTTGAGTGGAGAAGGAAAGGCGGGGATGAGGGGTAGAAAAGGAATGGGAAAAAGATAAGATCTAATATAAAGTTTTTCGGGGAAGGGGCGGCCACTATCAGACTTGCTCCGCTAAGCCCGTTGTAGCTATTGAGCGTGCTCGGTTTTGGTGATGATTACAGTGGTTTTGTGGTAGGACCTCGACCCGACAAGGTCTGGGAACCAAGGTTTTTTTGTTTGGGGAAAAAAAGAGAGTCCAATCTTGAATTCTGGGATCCAGATCAGCTATACCCGCATCTCCGTACCATCCGCAGTTAATAGGAAAGTTGACACGAGTACTCGTACTTTGCCTCGGCCAGTGAAGGATTCTAAAGCCAAGAAAAGTCAGTTTCTGCTCTCCCGGTATATCTCCGTACTCCTTCCTGTGATATCCCCCCTTCCCGTTGCTATTCTTCCCCGCCAAGTTGGTTAGAATAGCAGTAGCTCTTGCCACTTCCCCATCTTTGAACTTACATTGAAATTGGATTCCGCTCCGACCCCTTTGTTCTCAGCAGTGAATGGCCCAATCTCGTTCTCCCTCGTTGTTGGAAAAGGATCAAGTCAATTGATCACTCCGGCAGCCGTTGGATGATTTTCTCCTTCTTCTTCTTGTTTCTGCCTCTTTCCTCTCATCCTCCTCCCTCTCCTGGCTCCCTCTTGCCCCCGATTAATATAGCCTTCCATCCCTCCCTCCCCCTCCGGACACCGGGGCAGCTGCTTTACTGCTCAAGCAACTGCATCAAACCTACTCACGATGATGCACTGGGAATGACGTGTGAAGACCATGCCATTCACACGGCCGACAATCACATCGAATCCTAAGCCGGCAAGTCAGGATCACTGGCTCGGGATATTCAATAAGCTCTCCCAGTCATCACGCCGGGACGTGAACTACACCAGAAATAAAAATAACCATCGGGAATTGAGATGTCTGCTAGCCTGCGATCCCTTTTGACACGGAGGAGCACCTCCCAACACCTGTCTCTGCATTTCCAGCAGCCCAGGCTCACTTCACCTCACCTCACTCTAAAAAGGCTTCAGGCACAGAGCAGAATGAATGGGGTAATAGCAGGGGGGCAAGTGGGAGATCGGTTGGCGTGCGGTCAACCCAACCCACAGCCGGTGCATTTCCATTGCCCACCATATCATCGTCGTTCGCGTGTAGTCGAGATATGGATTACCGATAGCGTTTTGGTGGCGGAAGGAAAAGGAAAAAGAGGGCAGAAAAAAGAAAAGAAAGGGAAAGGGAAAATGAGAATGAAAAAAAGAAAAGAGAAAAAAAAAAAAGCACCACAGATAATCTAACCACGACTACCAGACTCTACCGTGCAGAACCCACGTTCAGGTACCCAAGCCCCTTGTTCCGGGGCGCGAAGGAGGTGAGAAAAAGACATTCCTCTCAACTGCTATAGGCACTAGGCGGGAAAGTTTACGTAATTCCCTACTCCCCACCTCCTTGGGGTCACCGGACTCGGAAGAGCCTGATGGAAGGAAATGGGGAGGGAAGGGGGGGGAAAGAGCTGGAGAGCAGGTAGTCTGCTCGAGTGCCGGTATCTCAAAAAAGCAACAAGATGGAATGGGCAGACAACAGAAGGACAGTTGCAAAAATAATAAAAAGAAAAAAGCCGTTGGGTGCATTAGCTGGTACGGAAGGAACATCTTGTCTCGGAAATTATAAACTGTCTTGGCGTGTTCCACGGTCCTGACTCTGGGAGGGTGCCAGTGGGTGTGCGGTGTAAGGCAGAGGAAAGGGATGGAAATAATGGCAATTGGGCACACATGGCACAGTGGCACTTGTATACTCCTGGGTATGAGATGCCCCGAGATTATTCCTGCCTGTACTCTGCAGTACAGTGGTCTTTTTTTTTTTTTTCCAGCATCTTTCTCGCCTGCTAGGGTGAGTTGCATCCCACACCCCCTTCGTGTCAGTTGCTATTTTGCCCGCATGCCGGTACAATTGAAGATGTTACAGAAGCTCGGAAGACTCTACCGACCAAAAGGAAAGAAAGAAGGAAAAAGGAAAAAGGAAATTCGAAAAAAACGAAAAAAAAAAACGAAGCCAGCCCTCTCGCTGCACCACAATGTAAGAGTATTGTACAGTAAGGCGCCCAAAACTGATACGGTTCTCTCATATTAATGCGAAGGAAGTGTCTTCGGATCCGTGGCAGACTTTTGTTATCTCAGCTCTGTATACCGGCACTGTACTTAGAAATCGCCAATATCATACCACAATAGCACCTGCTTTACCGTAGTGCTTCAAGTCATTCGTCAAAACCCTCGAGAGAAAAAAAATTCAAAATCAACCCCACAGGGACCGTGCACATTGGAACCCCAACCGAGCATCAATCAGGCAATGTACATAAAGTAGCCACCCATTAAGCACCCGGCTCTGCTCACTCTACTTCCAATCCTTCTCTCATCGCGGAGATGGGCAGACCGTATGTTGCTTGTATCCCCGCCCTCCGCGGAGAAAACCACAATATTGGTTATACACTCGTAAAGAGAGGGCAAAAAAGTGTAAGGTCGGGGTTGCACGGTCCGAATCTGTATTAACGTCAGTGCCAATAAATAGGCTTGTACTCGTAGCTTACCTTCATTATATTGCCATGGGTAACACCTTTTTAAAAATATGATACGTGGGACCTGGCCCCTCCAGAGAACTACCCCATGTGCTGTGAATAAACAAAAGGAGTGGGATCCCGTGGGTTACGGAGGAATCGTGAATCGTCATGTCGAAAAACTTGTTCCCCCGACGATCCACCCAAAACCGTCAAACAAACATCCACCCATTAACCATTCCAATAATCTCTTGCAGTCATCACTATACTACGGCTATCAAATTTCGAAATCCTTGATCTTCTCCCTTCGGCTTCGATCACGATTCCCAGAAGATTTTCAAATCATGCGGCCAATTTGTACCAACCCTCTCTTCACTCCCCCACCCGTCGGCTTTTTCAAATAAGATCATAACTTTATTTTCCTCTAAAAACCCTAGATTATGAAAATTCTATCTATCTATATTTTTTCGGAAAAAGGAAAGAGGAAACAAAGCAAGGAAATGGAAAAAGTGCCATCAGTTTGCTCGGTATACGCACCTTGATGGTGCCCTCTGACCGGCCGCCTTTGTCATCGACAGCGGGGTAAGGTGCATGGTTCCGGGTATAACACCTGGTTTATCCGTCAGATCAACTGTTTGGAGATTGGCACACCTGTGCAGTCGACATTTCCGACCACTAAGTTCGCTGTACGCAAGGATTGCGGGAGGAAGAGTGGAGAAAGTAACAATGAGGGAGGGCGGGGAATGGAGATATCGATGCCGAGTGATAAGGATTTGTCTGGGAAAAAACACGAAAAAATTCAAGGAACAAGGCTATCGGCCCCTGGGAGAGCAACGCTATACCTCATGAGGGACCTGCAAGCTCCCAACATCTTTGTTTGGTAGTTTTGGTAAACCGGTCAGGTCCACTGGCTTTATCCCATTTGAGGGTTTTCAGCTTTAGTTTAGCGTATCCCACCTCTTCAGTGTGTAGATGCGCCCCACTCTCCCTTAGTAAAGAAACGTTGGCTTCAATACCTGCATCGGCTGCCAGAAATAGGGGTGTTCTGCCATCTCCGTTACGCAAGTGAACCGAAGCTCCTTGTGAGAGAAAGTCACGGAGTATGTCGATACTACGGCACGTGGCGGCCAAATGCTAATTGAACGCTGATCGTTAGAAAGAGAGGGAAAAAAAAAAGGAAAACGAGGGTAAGCAAATAACGGTAACGATATCCATCCCAGGCGGGAGGCTGGACGATAGTAAAACTAGAGTCATGTGGTAATCGGCTAGGGGCGCAAGTGACGACATTGATCGTGAAAAAGATCGTCGTAAAAACCAAAGAGGAAAACACGTAGATATTACAGTGCCGAGAGACGGCCTTCGACGCCGTGATGGCTTTATAAAATGGGGGGGTGGGAAGTCGGCGTAACAAAGGAATAGAGTACTAACTAGCGGTGTGTTCCCGGAGTAATCAAACTCATTCAGCAAAAACTCGTTTGATTCCTTCAATACGGATGAAATGCTCTTTTGGTCCCCTTTCTTTATGGCATAGGCCAAAGCGGTCAACCGTGAGAGCTTCGGTGGTAGCAACGAGTTCGGGTGTGAAAAGATAGTAGCAGCTTGTTCCGTTAGCTCGCCTCGTAAGGATAAGGACATCTGTCGACGAATATCAGTCACAGTGAGTTCGGGTTTCGCCAAAAGGCAAGAAAGCTTCGTGAGCGCAGCTAGAATTTAAATATTTCACATGTTAACTCGATGGTCCCCATAATGCTTTCCGGTGGAGTAAGAAACGACGTTTAAATAAGCACGCCAGGAGGTGTCAGGAAGCGAGGGAAAAAGCAATAACGAGACGGATGAACTAATCTCTAGTCAAACGACGAGGAGCAATCTCCGGAACCGGTGGACGGAACAAATCCAGGCCAAGAGTTCCGTGGCGGAGGTGAAGAAACGGGATAAAAAAAAGAAAAGAATAGAAAGAAGCGGGATACCTTCGGTGGTCATGTCTAGCCCAAAAACAATGCCGGCTCTGGCTAATGCAGTGCCAGAAGCATAAAGGGGACTGACACTTCCGGTTATGCCTAAGAATCGGTCAGTCGCATAATGCATGCCGCTATGAACCTCCAAATTGATTGCTCACATTGGGTCACATTGACAATGACAATTCCATTATCAACCCCCTTCTTCAACACAGCCATCAGCCGCTCGTCTTCAGGCATATTGCCCGCTCCGAAGGTTTCGAGGACTAATCCCTTCAGGTTTTCTAACGCCAAGATGCCTTCAATCATCTCGGGAAGAATACCAGGGAAGATTCGCAAACAAGCGACATGGGCTGTGGATAGACTTGTCTGTACGGAAAACGGTGCAAGGGTAGAGGGACGGTTGACCAAATTCCAGTTTATATTTGTGGATATTCCAACCTTTCCGAGGGAGTTGAAATTCGGAGATGAAAATGCACGGAAATCGTGAGCATTACTTTTCGTGGCTCTAAAAAAGGTTAGAACAGAGAAGAAAGAAGTAGGATAAGGGATAATATGAAATACCGATTTCCGCGGAATAGCCTATGATTAAAGAAAAGGCAAACCTCGGGTACCATGTAATGGCCAGCAATAATGAGACTTCCGAGAAGATTGTCTGTAGCATCGTTATGGAGTTCGGCCATTGGTGCTTGGGATCCTCTTTAAAGCACAGCCAAGGGTGAGTAGTTGAGTTAAGAAGTGGGGAAACGGGGCTCACGTTAGGATAATTGATTTTCCCAAATTACTGATCATAAAACTCAGGGCGGAGCTTGTGTAAGCCAAGCTATCGGTACCATGCAATATCACAAACGCATCAAAAAGCTTATAATTTCCTGGAACCTATTAGGATATTCTCGAGAAATTTGGAATGGCTGCGACTTACGTTTTATCGATTTTGCAATCTCGCCCCAGCCCTTGGCGTTGATGCTCGAACTATCGAGGAGGGGATTGAATTCAAGAATTGCGTATCGAATACGGCGGGCATGTTTGGATGGGGGGGTACCTGTGATGCATTCACGTTAGGCCCGAGCTCTTCCACAATAGCCCACACAGTAGCAGGTTAAATTGTGAAACTCACGCAAAGATTCGAGCATCACTTCCGTCTCGTCATTAGTCATGACAGGAAGATATTTAGCGGGCGAACCATCATTGAAAGACGGTCTGGGCCTGAGGTAGGTATCCAGAAAACCAGTGGCCTATACAGCCGGGTATTAGCCTTGTGTAGCCATCAGGAGTTCTAAGCTTCACATGCCCAGCTCACAGCCTTGTCAAGTGACATGTGCCTCTCCACAGGGCCCATGGAACAGCAGCAATTGTTCTGGAGCAGCTCATTCGCGAATTCCAAACTCAGGTTGCCATGACGCAACACCATCCCCCAAAGTACTTTCCGCTGGGCGGCAAGAAAAAGAAAAAGGGAAACAGGAGACTTACAGGAACGTAACCGTCCTTTCCCATACGCATGCATATTGTCCCCCCTGTTAATGGGCAGGATGAGGAGTTAGCAAAAAGTGTCGTCCGCAGGGCGGAGAAAAAATGAACGCGGTTGGGACGAGAGTATGATACCTGTCATGACTATTAAAACCCTGCTCTCCGCAACCAAATTGCCATCTTCTCCAGGGCCATCGTAAGTGGGAAAGCTTGACTGAGTTGGTGAACCGTGTTGGGGACTTCCGTGTGCGGGCGTGCTGTTGGTGGTCGAGCTGCTGGGTGTCGAGTTGCACGGGCTTGGTGTTGTCAAGTGAAAAGTCATAGCTTCCTTATCTCGTTGCAAGTTCGAATATGTACGGTCCAATGCTAACCCGGAAATTGACAAGAGGTTGGGGAAGAAAGGGGGGGGGAGGGGGGTTATATAGATGCAGGGACAAGTTGGGGACCTCTCTGCTCAAATGAGCGGTCGGGGGAGAAAAAAACCGAGATGTCTGCGAGTAGGTGGGTGACGGGTCAAGAGCTCGGCGAGAGACATTCGCCGCACGGAGGTTTACCGGGTACGGTACCGGTAAAGTCAAGTACAGCCGCATCCATAAAATTCTCATTCCCTCCCAGCTATCATACCCCCAGACTTTGGAAGGGCTTCGCTAACCCTATATTTTTCATCGCCCAGCAGAAAAGACGGAAAAAAACTGAGATAAGAGTCCACGGTGTAATAATCCCCAGGGACACGGAGGAAGATTGTTATCTCGCCGTTCCCCTATTGATAAGTGCGGTTCTCGAGGCACAAGGAATGGTATGAGAACTTTACGGACGCGGCTGAACTCAAGTGTAGGAGTACGAGTATGCGAGGGCGGAACAATGTCCAGATTACTCAGCCTTCTTTATCTTTCCCGAAGGGAAGCCGTTGCCGAAACCTGGAGCTTTTGGACATTTACCGTCGACACCGGCAACCCACGCCTGCCCAACAAGCATCTGATCACCATCACGAGTCCACATCTCGGCAGCTTGATGCATATATCACACCCGAAAATCGTCAGCTATGATACACGGTACTCCTGCCCGGGGCCTTCTATTCGAGTACTATTTCCTCCCCCTTCATTTATTCCGCCTTTGAATCCTTGGAAATTTAAATCATCAGGGCGCATGCATTTTCGTGCACTTTGATGAACAACGGGCTCATCCAGAGAGGTAACTCGCTTTCGAAGCCGGTAAACTTGGGCCGGCCCAAGTTCGGAAAATATCGGGAATATATCGTCTATCGTGCCCAACGATTGTCATCGGTGAGGCCCTTTGTAACAGCAGGAACCAAGTTATTGGGGATTTGGACACCCCTCTGAGAGTTTTTTGCTTGCGACGGGGCAAGCGATGGGGTAATCTATGGGGTAATCTTTTTCCCGAGATGTTTTCCTGGCAGCTGGGAGGCCCCGTGGCTGGGTTAACCGTAGCGTACCTGACCGCCCATCTCACCCTCTGGCTCTTGGAATGACGAAATGAGGCCTAGCTGCCTTTGGTACCCGCAGAGTCCTATCGTGCGCGGGATGGCTGAAAATCGACTTCCGGTTCTGAGCTCCTCCGACTACGCGCCGCACTTGAGCGCAGTCGGTAGGCTGGAACGCCTTTTTCCATGTGGTAACGTATCAAGAGACGCGCAACTTCGATACAGCGACTTGAGCACTGGCATGGCACAGTACAGCACTACCGGCAGTTGCATTACCTTGTATCTTATTGAGCACCGCCGTAAAGGGCAATGCGGTTTTGGGTGTATGGCAGCGCAAGCAGGATGTGGCCTTGCGTACCGTACTCGTAGAGCCGTCTCATTTTTTGCGCCGTTCCGTTGGCAATGGGTCGTTGGCTAGATGGTCTTCATAGCTACAGTTGGATCGTGCACCACACAAGAAGGGTTCACGCCTAACTTATTACCTCTCTTTCTATGTTTGCATTTTGTTTTGTGGTTCTCCAGAGAACCCATTATTCTCTAATTAAATTCTCTCGGGTTCCCGAAATGAAAACCCGAAAAAACATGGGCGTCCAAGCGGGATGAGTTGGACGGGCTCAATTAATTTTTTCCAAAGCCGTATCCAAGGGAGCTGCCCGAAATCCTCCACCCGGGCATCCGCACCCGCCCACGCGATCCTGACACCATAATCATAGCATTCAAACAGAGAACTTGTACCAACTACTCCCTTTTTTACGTGGACCAAGGTCAATTGCGTATCAGAATTGGTGTCCGCAAAGCTAAGAGATTTAGCAAACCAACCCCAACACGAGAGAGTAAGGCTTCATAAGGTTAATATATCTCTAGTTCTCTCCACGAGTGATATATTATGAAGTCCTCAAACTCTTAGCTGAGTGGGACAAAGGTTTTAGAAACCAATTGAGACTAGGATACACACGCATGCAAATATCGGCGCCATAAGATAGGGAAACCCTGGTGGGTTCTCCTCAGAACATTAAAGTCCGGGGTCCCCAACCCCGTACAGTCCTCTCCTCCAACGGCATCCGAACCGGTCTCGGGAACAGTCTCGGTTGAGCCAGGGATAAAGTCACCCCATCCGGTACCGTCGCATCTAGCCTTCCTTCCTGCCTTAATATCCATGAATGTACTTGCTGTCGCATGGCTGAAATCACAGGCTCGAGGGACCCGAAGGCTTCTTTCTCTTCAAGCAGTCGTCGTTGAGAAGACGGACTGTTCTCACAAAACTCAGAGAACTAGCGCTTTACCGCCTACCAGATAACTCCTTCTGCCAAGGAATATATGGTGGTTCTCCCCTTGGTAGAAACCTCAGGAAATCCATGAACACCCTGAAGGAACTATCTTATCCAAGGCCTGCACGGGCCAGGATGGTTCATGTAAAATGTGTTTATGGCGTCTTACTGATGGTCGGGCATATCCTAGGTCTCTGGGGGCTGTCGAAGGGGGAGCAAGCTACCTTCTCGGGGTTTACCTGGATAGTTCTGCCGGTTCACGCTGTGTGGGAAATCGAGAGGAACTTAGTGGTATTTTTGCCGTCATTAGCGGGGCGTAGCCAACCTGGACCAGAATCATCGAAGAGAAGAGTGCTCTGGCGCCACGAGTACCGAACCGAGCAAGGAAATTACATGCAATCCGTTCGCCCTCGCTATGCGAGGTGGTGGTGGTCTGCGATATATCATCTTGCCTCAGAAGCCGGTTTAACCAATCCTGGTGTATCTCAGTGTCATCTTCAACACAAAAGTTTGGAGTAGGCATGGGTCGGCCGAGGGTGGAGAGGTAGATGCACAGGATTGGATAATTGACATGGAAGGGGTACTGAATACTGAGATTAGCCTCGGTTCACATGCTGGGGTTTGTCGGGTCTTGTGGGTTCATCCTGCCCAGTGGTCGAGGCAAACGTAGAGTCCGCACCTTGAGATCAGGGCCGGTAAACCACCGAAACGGGTTTCAAATCGGCATACCAGGCTTATTGCTCCAAGAAACTGTTGATGACCAATTTTCCTCGGAAGTGGCCAACAGATCATATCTTTCGAAGCTGCGGGGGGGCTCTAAGACAGGCAGGAGTGAGTGTAGCGCTGCGAACTCTAACATTGATTTGGCGCTGCGCATCTCTCTCAAAATCCATAATTTCTCCAATGCGTCTTTTCATGGCTCTCAATCTAAACGATGCCGTGGGTCAGATCAAGAAAGCGTCCTTGCGGCGTTCGGCGGGGGGGACTATACTCCCTGGCCCGAATAACGGCCTTCTTTGGATGGTCGCCGCATCAAAACGAATACTCTGCGTGCAATAGCTCCTGAGCTAGTCAAGCCGGAGATCAAATTTCACCCAATAATCCCCAACAACCGCTCCCCCCCCCAAAGCCCAAGCGAATCTAGTTACTCCAGAAAGTTTTCAGTAGTCTCGCCGACCGATCGCAACATACCTTCTTGACCTTACATATGGTCGCCATATGCAGGGTAATCTGGAATGCCACTACCGGCGCGACCCCTCGCCCAAATAATTTTCCTCAACGTTCTACAGATCTCCAGTAGATGAATTCGCAACGAAGATGGCCAACCCGTGCCAACTCGCACATGAGTCTTCCTCCACCCTCCCCGTAACACCGCAATCTTTTCGAAGACTTCATACTAGCTAAGCCGCAACGGCGCCGGGGGTCGGACGACGGGACCAGGCAGGGCTCGTATTCCCCGGATGGCCTGGGAGAAAGCCGAATCAATGATGAAGGGGATGGATGTTGTTCTAAGCCCATTTCCGTCGGCCTTACTCCATGGATAGATAACCCCTGAAAACAAGAGCAAAGGAGTTTGGGGGGGGGGGTGAGCGGGTGAGGTTGGCCTGGGGGGCTGGGATTGACCGTGTCACACACGTCTACTCGAGTATCGAACTGGACAACGCGCTCAGAGAGCGCGCCAGGAAACGCCTGACGCCGGGACACTACCGCAAGCCACAAAAAAGCTTGTCTCGAGCGAACCAGATAGAGCATAGCTTGGGGAAGATGGCCCAGCATTTACCAGGATGTACGGAAGCAGCTCGGGAGATCTCCTAGCAATACCGGTTTTCAGTTACTAAGCGCTCATATGCCCCTCATTCAATCCCGACATCCGTGGTCCGTCCCTCCGCTGTCACCGTCGCCCTCGGTTCCGCATGTGGGCGTGCCAGATACTCTACCGTGTGTTTCCCCATTCAGATATTGCCATCGTTATCATACAAATCTTATCCTCATCCCATAGGGGGACAGTGTTGCTCGCGACGGTCGACGGTTATGTGATACCGTTATGATAGCGATGGGGGGTTATGATACAAGTATAGTGTCGATGAAGCAGGTGACAATGTATCGATAGCAAGGTAAGGGTTAATGTATCGTATGCCGAAATTTCATCCACCCGCCTCCAAACAATAAAGATATTTGAAATTGATTCTGCAGCTCTTTTTGAGGAGGAGGGGGTTCTACGGAACACTGAATAATGTTCTACCTGCTGAGTAGGGAGAAACGCTTGTGGTCGAAAGTACTGCCCTCAGTGATTGTTTGATTCAGGATGATGCGGTTGTGGTTACCCGTGCTTGTATCATTCTTTCCCTACCCGAGTACTCTGCCGTCCTGCCCTTCTCCACTTTTCGTCTCTCTTTTTACTCGAACCAAATGTCCACTCTTCCCCTTTCATTTAGTACCAATTGATGCAGCGCCCTTCTGACCGCTCACAGTATATATTATTGAGCATGGCACCCCCGCCATGATTCCTGTCGGTCATGGTGTCAGTAAAGTTCAGAGTGACACCCTGTCGCGAGCAACAATGATTGGGAGCGATCTCCTGGTGAACAAATAAGCATTCCGGGGGGTCCTTTCGGCACCTACTTATCTGAAAGGGCAGTTACCGCGAGCATGTATGACACGATCGTACGGTTCGGCGGGATACCTGCCTTCCCATACTTTAGTTCTATCGAGAGGGACGAGAAATAAGCATTTTAATATTAGCTACCATAAATCGGATCATCCTGTCCTAGCAAATGAAAGGTGGGTAAACGGGATCTCGACGTCGCTTCATATAAGCCTCCTCCTTCTGGTCCAGAACTGGGCGGGGAAGATGAGGCGGATTGCGGGTTGCTATTAGCGCACCGATCTGTTATTGGGGTTGCTGGGGGCCGGTACATAAGTCAATATGGTTCAAATTGTCTTGGGATCAGTACTCGGGTCAAGGGTGAAGTATTAGGACACGCGAGGGGGCGGATGTCTGTGCGAGGACTAGAAATGGTGCCCGTATATTGGCTTGGTTATTAGATAACTGGTAGTATTTCCCTTTTTAAGTATCTGGGAGCCTCAACTTATACGAGCGGGGAAATTTTTGCACCGGCCCCACTATCTATATCTGGTTGCCTGTCCCAATACTTTCTCCCCACCCCTAGTATAGCCTACGGTAAATAAGGAGCTAGAAGACGGGGACTAGAAACGCGGACCCCTGATCATCTCGAAACCCCCGAATCCCGTGCCCCGTTTTCCGATACTTTTTTTCTTTTTCTTTTTTCCTGCAGGGTGCACTTACGCTAATATATTCGAGTGAGCAATATTGCGGGGTAATAACCGCCGGATAAAGTTTACTTTCCGGGAGGGGAGAGACCTCACTATAGGCTTACGGGTGGAGTAGGTGTTCATGTTCATGTACAATATTTGCTCTCTGCTGATCCCGGGTTTATAAGAGCGCCGACCCTACTATCTACATTACCCAGCATCCCATACCATCTACAATCATAAAAGCGCAGTGAATAGGCAAATCAGATGACTTTCCCGTCCTTGCACCTCATCCCCGCAAGTCGCCGCGAAGGTCGGGGGCGTTCGTTAGGGCCCCCGTTCCCCCCGAGACGTATCCCCGCCCATCCCCCCCCCTCCGGAACCATCTCCCCCATTGAACTTTTTGATAGCGGTAGAGTGCCGATTGAGAGTAAAATTACAGGATGGTGTGATATTCAACTGGGCAATGGATTTCTTCAAGCGACTTGGTGAGTTCTTGAGGCTAGAATATGAAGGGGAGAGTGGTCAGTTAGCTGAAGTTCCTTTGAGAAGCTATGAATGTTGGAAATGA